AAAAGGGGAGGGGTTGTAAGAAAACATACTAAAGTCGAAGAAAAATAGACAAGATCACGGTGAAAAAGACAAATAGATAAACAACAGTTCACAAAAAAGACTAAGGAAGAAACTTGAGGTTGTTGAACACGAAACAAACTAATATCAACGTATATGTGTTCATCTGAACAGAAATTCCTTAAATTGTTATAAATAATGATCCTGCTGGAACAAATATGATATAACTGTTATCCCAGTGGAAATAATAGACCAGAATATTTCTTTCAATTGGAACTTCTATCATAAAGGATCCCCTATTCCATGATAACCTCGGGGGTGAACAAAAGATCAGCATGATCCACTAGGGAAACGTTGTAATGGATATCAACAGAAAAGTTTGATTACCAAAGTCTATTAATAAATATTTGCCTTATTCGCAAAGGATTAATGTTCCCCAATATCATCTACATCTATATAAAAACATTGTCACCAGTTAAAAATAAACTCCATTTTTCTCGAAAATAAGAACGGGGATGTAAGTATCCAAAATTGAATGTTTACCAATTTTTTCTTCTTCATGGAAAATATATAAATATTAAATTTATTGTCAATTTCACCCTTAAATACGACTCAGTTTGTCATTTAGTTAAATTAAAGTTTTCTTTCCAGTAACTGTGCAATTTTAATTTTGATAAGTGACACAAATCTGTGTATGTTTTCTTTATGGTTTGTACTTGGAAGGAAATCAAGAAAAACAAAAGTACAATTAAGTGCAACAAGGGTGTATAATGCATTCTTAAAAAGAATATAAATTACTCATATATTTTTATAAGAAATATAAAAGAATATACACGATTAAGTCTTTTAAATAGCTAAAAGAAAGGCGTTTTTCTCAAATGGCACAAAAACAAGATATGATTTCGACTTGAACAAGGCGACAACGAACATGAGAGGAGCCCAGACGCCCAAGATAATTAAGATGTTCAGATTGTTATAAAGTTCATGGAATCTTCTTTGAACATAAATATAAACAAATTAACCGAAATGTAAGTAGATATAAGAAGATGCGGTATGAGTGGCAATCAGACAACTCTCCATCCAAGTAACAATCTGTAAAAAAATAAACCATTATAGGTAAAAGTACGGCCTTCAACACGGAGCCTTAGTTCATACCGAACAGCAAGCTAAAGGGACCCAAAAATGACTAGTGTAAAACCATTCTAACAGGAAAACCAATCTTGAAGGAATTCAGCCATTTGACACATAGACTGACAATTTCAAAATAGATCTACTAGTATTATATAACTGCAGTGGAACGATTGACGAGTAACAGTCATAGTGGTGTAGACACTTCGCGCGATACATAGAAACTTACGATAGCATCAGTGGAATAAAGTTTTTCGTCCTGTGAGCGAGTCCCGGTCCGTCTCGTATTAGGTTTAATGTAGAATATCATAACGATGTGACCACATCAACTTGAAACTTAGCATACATATTCATAAAAATAAGGAGATGTGATATATTGCCAATGAGACAACTATCCACCAGAGACCAAATGACGTGAAAGTAATCAACTATAGGTCACCAAGCGGCCTTCAACAATGAGCAAAACCCATTCCACATGTTCCGTAAATAGTCAACATTAAATCCCAGGTCTACATACATGTATATTTTTTCATAACTAATATTCAGACCCAAACAACTTTAGCTGTACTATATTTCTAGTTTACAGGGCGCTTGGTCTTCTATGAAGGCCATGATAGGATTTTAAATAAAGGAGATGCAGGGAAGACATCAAAACAGCCACCCAACATGCATTGAAAAGATGTAAGGCATATGTCAATGAGACAGCCATTTCCAAGGTTATCATACACGTACTCGTATGTAGCTGATATTTACTTGTTATTCCACAACTCTTATATATATTATTTAATTCCTCTTCACAGGGATTTGTACCCAACTGTTTTACACTACAGCAAACGCTCATGCATGGAAACAGCAATGCCAACAGAACCAAAATATATTTGTTAAGCACATACAAGTGTTTCGCTGATTCGATTAGGATACTAGTAAAGATAAAAATTTAAATATTATATGTATAGATTTGAAATAACACGTTTAGGAAATCAGGCGAAACATTGCTTCGTATAGAATAATTCTAATTTACCACAACATTAAATCAAACATCCCAGACATAACAATCCATCCTTTCTTTTTCAGCTGTTATTTACAAGAAGTTTAACAGACCCTGCAATCTCAAGATTCTTTTTCGACTGTAATTTACAGAAAGTTTAACAGACTCTGCAATATTAAGATAATTACTGGATATAGGAATTGACTAGAATTACGAGTGAGAACTTGTTTTGGAATATTTTTGTTTATGGTTTATTTCTGTTTCATTGTTGGACTCTAAATGCTATCGCCTCGTTTTACCTTTCGTGATTAGCTGCTTGATTTACTTTATTTTAATTAATTGAGAAATCACATCATACGTCAAATGTATGGATGTCTAACTTGCAGCCTCTTATAAAAAAAATGAGTAGATGCGTTGGGGTTGCTAACGAGGCAACTCTCCACCAGAGATCAAATGACGTGGATGTAACCAAATTATAGGTTACCGTACGGCCTTTTACAATAAGAAAAACCCATACCATATAGTCAACTTTAAAAGGCACCAACATGAAAAATGTAAAAACAATTTAAACGAGAAAACTAACGGTCTAATAATTTACACTACAACTTACGAAAAACAAATATTAAGACATGAACCAACGGAAACCACCGAATTGCAGGTTCCGGACTAAACATGCTTATACATTTGGTCTCTGGTGGATAGTTGTCTAATTTACAACAATACCACATCTCCCTGTTTTATATTAATCAGGACAATTTTGAAATCAAACAAATGACTTAAACGGCAGATACTTCTGAACCGTAGCTCGTATGGACTTTCACGGAGAGCACAAATCAACCAAAACTCTACTACTTATTTGACATGGAAAAAAATCTTTAATACAAGTTACATGAACCAACTAATTTGTAAAAATTGATCACACAATAAAATTAACGGGAACAACTGATTTTACAACTCGCACAAACTGATGGTACTACTATCGCCATAAATACATGACCATTTCTTTAATCCACCTCCCGCCATAGAAACATGACCATTTCTTTAATCCACCTCCCGCCATAGAGACATGACCATTTCTTTAGTCCACCTCCCGCCATAGAAACATGACCATTTCTTTAATCCTTCTCCCGCCGCAGAAACATGACCATTTTTCTAATCCACCTCCCACAACACTATTTCTTATCTTTTTAACGTATTTGCTGTTTTGATAAGTAAAAGATAATATTATCAGTGTGATCACACAATTTGGCACTCAATCGAACAAACTCCAGTAAGAGCCAATTTTGATTTCCATCCAAACAATCTGATTTTTAGATAAAGTAAGAAATAATACAGTATTTTCACATACTTGTTTCAAATACCAGACCCCAGTCGGACTAAGTCTCCCCTTTTAAATGTAAAAATTACTGAAATAAATTGGAACAATGTATGATTCTTTGAACTGCAAAACAAAGGGTTTAGTGTATTACTTTCAATTTTAATTTTGGCTTTCAACACTGATTTGTGTTTTAATTGTCTCACATGAAACATTCTGTCTACCAGCCCTAAATACACGATACGAAATGACTCAAGTACACACAATATGTGTGAAGTAAGAGAACGATATGTGTGAAATAAGAGAACGATATGTGTAAAGTAGGAGAACAATATGTGTTAAGTATGAGAACAATATGTGTAAAGTAATAAGAGAACAATATGTGTAAAGTAATAAGAGAACAATATGTGTAATGTAAGAGAACAATATGTGTAAAGTAATAAGAGAACAATATGTGTAAAGTAAGAGAACAATATGTGTAAAGTAGAAAAAATATGACCCGGCTTGTTCTTTTGCTTATGTTGATCATTCAATGAGCAACATGATTCATAATCAGCATTATTGCAACTTTTATCCATTTATACCCCCAACAAACACAAACACACACGCACACATACTCATTTTTCAAATTTGCAATTGATATTAAAATTGCTGTATATTTTAAAAAAGGGAAAAATATATACCATGATTTACGTTGTTAAATGGGATAGAAGTTTGCCGTTCTCTTATATGAATAATGCATGAATTTAAAGATAAGTATAGAACAGATAGGAGATATGTAAGAGAAGTATGTTACACGTGTTTTTACTCAGGAACATGTAACACATGCCAAATGCACTACATGGAATCTATCACAGCTATTACGTGTATCATACATACACATATACACAGGTTAATTAGATGATCTGGTCACTGATAATCTCCAGATGGGAAGATATTACATACAATGTTACACCTTAATGTCAATCTAGTTACCCCTTAAATTAACTAGATAATTCTATAATTTATCATTAATCTTAACTTGAGAAGATGTTTTATCCAGTACCTCTTTGAGAGAATATTACCCTGATTATAATCTTCATACTGTAAAATACATCCATGGTCCAATCTGCAGACGCCGAAGAAATACCATTATGAAAATATTACAAGAAATTTTGAAGTTTTAAATTGCTCCTAAACAAGCAGGAATCCCTTTTATATAATTATTTTTAATAAAACTACAAGAAAGGGTTAGACTGTCCTTACGCGTGTCTGTTTTGTTTATAAATAAGACGGAAATAGAAAGTTATACCAACAGATAAAGTGTCAAACTGACATTTCTCACGTCTCAGAGAAACTTTTAGCTTAACCCGTTTTTTTTTACATGACAGTAAGGGGCTGCTTGGTTCTTTCTAGGAAACAGATATTTGACAAAAAGTAAATTCTAAGTTTTTTCATTGTTGATTCATGATGTTAAGAATAAAAAAGTTACCGTTAAAACTTGTGTTGATAATGTCCAACAGTTGTAGGTTGGAATGTGAAACCGACTACCAAAAATCAAGCAAGCTAAAATAATCAAATTTAAAAACTTACAGTTTTCTTTAAAGTATCCCTTGGAAAGTTTAATCGGCTACGATACATAATATATAAAAAATTGGTCCGCTGGTTGAATAGAAAAGTTAAAAGTCACACGACTACATTCCTAATGTTGTGTTGTTGTCTCCCAATGCATTTTCCGTGTTGAGCCGAGCGCTCGGCCGAAAGTGATGACGACTGTCTAGGATTACCCCAGCCTCATCACTCATACTCTACTAGATAACAAATCTTCAACATGAAAATAGAATATTTTGATAAGAAATGTAAATATCTTTAGAAACGGAATATAAAATCACGTGGTTTATGAATTTCACTGCACTAAAGATTCCACAGTTGTTAGTTTTCAAACTGTCAGTATCTGTTGGGTTGTCTGGTGATATTGGTTAGCGATGTTCGGGGAAGGGAACTGAAGCAAGCTAATCCCTCATCAAGTTAAGATCTCCCGCTAATCAGCACGTGCGGATAATTATTAAGATAATTAAAGAACATATGTTCTCTACAACAGTTATACTTTTTTTCTCTCAGATGATATATAAATGTGAGTCACACTGTATAATTCTTAGATATAACAATAATAATAAATCAAAAGGGTCACGGGGTCATCTTCGTCTACCTCAAAACACATAAGACATATGACGTAACTACAACACAATGTAATTCTACTTCATCTTTGAAATTTTAAAATGAAAATTCCTGGTTAATACAAATGTAACACTACTGACCATTTAGCTTTCCCACGGTTCAATGAGGTTCCATCCTTGTTCCATATTGTTTAAATTTTGAATAACATTTCCTCTAATAGGTTTGATGCTAATCTACGTAGAAAAGTTGTCTAAAGTTTTTCTAATTGATGCATATCTATTGTCATAATTGCATAATCATTATTAACTCAATAGTCCCAATCATCTTAGGAAAACTTCAGCAATGTACATCGTTTTCTTTTATCCTATTGGGAGCCATGGTAAGCAAAAAACACGGATTTATATATAGACAATAATGTTTTAATGTTTTAGTCGCTAAACTTTAGGACAAAAATGGTCCAGAAACTCTTAAGACATACATTAAGACACACAGACAAATGATATAAATTTATCAAAATTGCCATTTTGTCTCAATTTGTCAAATTGTTAAAATGGAGCTTAAGATGTTTTTACAAACGTTCTAAAGTAATATTATTATTAGTAATTAATCAGATTATAACGCATATTTGTTTATATTACAATAATCAGCCTTTCCAGCTCTGGAAGTTTAGGTGACATGTCCCCTTAGAGTGTTTAGTTTAGCAATATGATTGTACAGCAATACAATTTTAGAATACATTTTTTCAAACTTTTGATTGGTTCAAACAAAGTTAAGTAATAAACAAGGTATCGAGAAATGTGCAAATATCTACTGTATTCTGTCGATTTAATATTATTGAAAGAAATTGAATGTTTTTATCCTCTTAAAATGACTCAAAGATTAAATTGAAAAAAAATGTATAAACTAGTATTGAGCTATCATATATCTATGAAACTACAATATTTCTATATTAATTTGTGAAAAATAAGCTTTAAAGATCATATTGCCCATTATTGTCCAATATTATCCATTTCTGTGAGATTTGACCTGCCCCGGGAAATCACGAACTTGGGTTTTCTCGTCTGGGTAATACTTTGCCAAGCCTGCTGGTAACTGCATATTTTTAATATAACTTTTACTGCATAGATTAAACATTTATAATTTGAAATAATAAATCATTACAAACCCACAAATAAATTATTCCTTTTGTTTTTATTTCAGTATTAACTTTCCAAATAACAACCACTGGACGTTAAGCAACCAACAATCAATCAATCAATCCAAATAACTGGGGTGAAGCATCTCACTACCGACTTAAAACTAAGTCAATATAAAAATAAGAAGATGTGGTATGATTGCCAATTAGACACATATATAAACCCATCGTTTGAACTGGTAACATCAGGTTTTCTGTTGGTAATTCAAAGACGTGCAACCAATCACTTTACAAGTTGGGTTGATCCGTTTCAGACATATATAGTTGTTATCTGTAGATCGTTGGGTAGTTTGTATCATATACTTGTTTGATACTATCTTAATGTTTATTTATCAAGTATGTTGTTTTTGTACATCAAAACGATAAAAAAAGTATATTTCAACATATCCTGACCTATATGAAATAATTCAAGTTCAAAGTTCTCTCAAGATATTAAGATGGCCAAGATTTTGTTCAAGGTTGTGTCTGACTTTTTTTTATGTTTATATTACAATTTTGCATGACAAATCCAGTTTCCATGATGTTTTATCGACAAAGAGAAAACTGAATTGCCTACCCAGATGTTCGAACTCAATGTTGCTGTATTTGCCAGAACAGGATATATTGCCATGAAAAGATTCAGACGATAGTATGTAGTGTGCGAAAATCCTTCACCGTTCATGATTTGTCTTACCAAGTTTGATTGGGAAAGTCCATACGTCCATACGTCCGTAAGCCCAAGGTTGACTTGGGTATAGGAACTTGTCTTACCAAATGTGATGGGGAAAGTCCATACGTCCGTAAGCCCAAGGATTGACTTGGGTATAGGAACTTTTCCCGTTCCGCCGGTAGTAAAACCTTAACTTGCTAAATTGGGGCTATCTGTTATCTGGAAACATTTGTGCGCGATGTATACATTCCCAGTCAAGTCCGGTGGAAATGGGATCGTTACATCTTATGCCTCGTGTATAAGGAGGGTGCACGTTAAAGAACCATTACAACAGCCTCGTGGGGAATCCGTAGATGACCTGATGAAAGGCAACACATTTGCCCCTATCCAACATACCCTTATTTTCCAATGGAGATCAACATTTCCTGCTACTTCATTCCGGTCGTCCCACCTTGCAGAATCGACCGATTGTTTTAATTCTTAGCAGTTCTCGTCCAGAATGTGCATGCAATACTAGCCAATGTACAGCACAATAACTCAATCAATCATACGTCCATACTACATGTAATTAAACCAAATTTGCTACACGTGCATTATTTTATATAAATGTACAAAGTGGAAAAGAATGGATATCAATGTGTATCAATTCTTGACACAAAATCCTTACAAGCACATGAAAATAAAAAAACAAAAGAACAGCGTTTTTATTGCTGTTCTTCGTCTTAAATTCACATAGAGGCTCGTTCAACATAGAGCAAAAAGTCTCTCATCACATGTTAAAGACGACACCATTCACCGATTTGAACATAATCATTAGCTAGATTTTCATCACGCATATAAACTCAAATGGCACACAATAAACAACTAACAAATAAGCTTAATATACATCATCTAAAGTGTTTTACTCAGTAGAGAGTTAATTTACGAAAATTGCTTGTAAATTAACAAGAGAAACTCAAATACGGTCCCAGATTTAAAAAAAAGAGGGGCCCCTAAACTAGGCAACGTTAGTAGAACATGTAAAAAGTCTATACATTAACTATATATGTATATATGTAGCTCCAAAAAGGGGGCCCGGCCCCTATCCCCTAAGTCCGCCTCTAAGACTAGACATTTAACTAGAAAGACGAGTAAATTGTATTAACTGGAAATAAGAGTAAATTGTATTCTTTCATTTTTTGGTGAATTGGTTCAGTTACACATCAAATTAAGCAGGTATATATAGATATGTTTAATGGTATAGTAACAAATCAACAATAATCCAAAAAGAACTAGGCAATGCAAAATAACCAAGACTTTACCAATTAACAATCATTAGTTAAAATGTTGTGTTTAGTTTTCAATATTTAAGTATATACCTGTTGTAAAATAATACAAAATAATTTATATAAAATGCCACTCACCATTACACTATCTTGTGGTACATTTCGTTGCTAGCTTCTGCAAATATCCACATCCTTACTGACCAAAACATGTAAAACAGGGTGAGCGAACAGATACAAATTTTAAAATGATGGTCTATCAATCACACTAAACATTTTGTCCATGAAAAATTGCCTAGAAACCAGCATCTCTAAACAGTTCTGACAGGAACTAAAGATAATTAGGGGCAGCACTGTCAATGACTTTACCAGACACTTCTGATTTTTACATTATAACAAACAATTAAGTCTCATATAGACAACGAAGATGTACACTTTCCGTTTCTGATGAATAATTAGATAGAAAATCTAAAAAGATGTGGTTCGTAAAAATAGAAAACAAATTGTACAAATTAATTTGTAGCATTCTAGATTATGTAATTGTTTTGCGCACTTTTTGGGGCCCAGTATTTCTATTTTAAATTGCATCTGCATTACTGTGTAGGTATAAAGTTATATATTAGTGTAATAGATAAAGCCTTACATACAAAAGCTATTGTTCAATTTACCGCTGAAGTATACAGAGTAATATCAAGTTCTTAATCGCCGTGTAGAACGCAAGTTCTCATAAGTCACAGATCTGGCGTCAACGTGCACCAAATACTTTAAATTACAAACAATTCAATTAATGATAAAGAGATAATGTACTTGGGACAGACACGTGAAGTTTACATAAAACATAGGGTAATGCTTGTTTATTGAGAACTATATGTCGTCCCGGTATATGAAATAACAAAAGGTATACCCAGAATAACGTAAAACAAAACATAATCGCTATAATCTGTGACATCGGTATTATAGCATAGAAACACTTGAACACCACGGGGACCTAATAGGTCCAAGAACACCACTGGGACCTAATAGGTCCAAGAACACCACTGGAACCTGATAGGTACAAGAACACCAGGGGAACCTAATAGGTCCAAGAACACCAGGGGAATCTAATAGGTCCAAGAACACCACTGGGACCTAATAGGTCCAAGAACACCAGTGGGACCTAATAGGCCCAAGAACACCACTGGGACCTAATAGGTCCAAGAACACTACTGGGACCTAATAGGTCAAAGAACACCACGGGGACCTAATAGGTCCAGAAACACCACTGGAACCTGATAGGTACAAGAACACCTCTGGGACCTAATAGGTCCAAGAACACCGTTGGGACCTAATAGGTCCAAGAACACCACTGGGACCTAATAGGTCCAAGAACACCACTGGAACCTGATAGGTACAAGAACACCTCTGGGACCTAATAGGCTCAAGAACACCACGTAGACTTAATAGGTAAAAGAACACCACGGGGACCTAATAGGTCGAAGAACATCACGGTGATCTAATAAGTCCAACACCACGGGGACCTATTAGGCCCAAGAACACAACGGGGATATAATAGGTTCAAGAACATCACGGGGACCTAATAGGTCCATAACAACACGGGGACTTACTAGGTCCAAGAACACCATTAAACTCTTAACACTATCAAAGAATGCTAGCAGACAAACTCAAATTGTACCTCATTTGCTGACGGAAAAAAGTGTTTTTTTATATATAAATACTCCTTGAGATACATATAAATCAACATGCAGTCATCTCATACGTTCAGGTATTTCATATCCAATCTTTTATGGTAATATTCTTTACAAAGCACAAAAATGTCGGCATTCACCTCAAAAGCTAACCAAACCTTTAAACAGACTT